GAATGCAGCTAACCAAGGAGGTGAAAGATCTCTACAAGGAGAACATAAACAGTGCTAACATACGTCAGAGACAACAAAAATAAATGAAAAACAAACAAACGAACAAACAAACAAAACCTTCCACTCTCATGAATTGGAATTGGAAGAATCAACGTTGTTAATATTGCCATAGTAACCAAAACAATTTGAAGATTCAATGTTATTGCTATTAAACTACTAATATCATTCTTTACAGAATTAGAAAAAAAGAATACTATTCTAAAATTTGTAATAAAATTTATATGGAACAAGAACAAAAAAAGAATCTGAATAGACAGACAAAGCAATCCTAAGCAAAAAGCATTAAGCCAGAGGGATCACATTACTCAATTTCAAACTATACAATAAAGATACACTAACCAAAACAGCATGATACTGGTAGAAAAACAGAGACCTATGGAACATGGTAGAAAACTCATAAATAAAGTTAAACACATATCATCATCTGATTTTTCACAAGGCTGATAAAACCAGCAATGGAAAAAGGACTTTCTATTCAAAAAATGGTACTGGGATAACTGGCTAGTCATACATAGAAGAATGAAACTAAATCCTTACCTTTCAGTGTATACAAAACTTAACTCAAGATGGATTAAAAATTTAATGTAAGAACTCAAACTATTAAAAGGCTGGAAGAAAATCTAGGAAATACCCTTCTCTTTTTATTTTATTTTATTTTATTATTATACTTTAAGTTCTGGGGTACATGTGCACAACGTGCAGGTTTGTTACATATGCATACCTGTGCCATGTTGGTGTGTTGCACCCATCAACTCGTCAGCACTCATCAACTCGTCATTTACATCAGGTATAACTCCCAATACCACCCCCCCCATCCCCATAATAGGCCCCGGTGTGTGATGTTCCGCTTCCCGAGTCCAGGTGATCCCATTGTTCAATTTCCACCTATGAGTGAGAACATGCGGTGTTTGGTTTTCTATTCTTGCGATAGTTTGCTGAGAATGATGGTTTCCAGCTGCATCCATGTCCCTACAAAGGACTCAAACTCATCCTTTTTGATGGCTGCATAGTATTCCATCATGTATATGTGCCACATTTTCTTAATCCAGTCTGTCACTGATGGACATTTGGGTTGATTCCAAGTCTTTGTTATTGTGAATAGTGCCACAATAAACATACATGTGCATGTGTCTTTATAGCAGCATGATTTAGAATCCTTTGGGTATATCCCCAGTAATGGGATGGCTGGGTCATATGGTATTTCTAGTTCTAGATCCTTGAGGAATTGCCATACTGTTTTCCAGAATGGTTGAACTAGTTTACAATCCCACCAACAGTGTAAAAGTGTTCCTATTTCTCCATATCCTCTCCAGCACCTGTTGTTTCTGACTTTTTAATGATTGCCATTCTAACTGGTGTGAGTTGATATCTCATTGTGGTTTTGATTTGCATTTCTCTGATGGCCAGTGATGATGAGCATTTTTTCATGTGTCTGTTGGGTGTATGCATGTCTTCTTTGGAGAAATGTCTGTTCCTATCCTTTCCCACTTTTTGATGGGGTTGTTTTTTTTTTTATTGTAAATTTGTTTGAATTCTTTGTAGGTTCTGGATATTAGCCCTTTGTCTGATGAGTAGATTGCAAAAATTTTCTCCCATTCTGTAGGTTGCCTGTTCACTCTGATAGTAGTTTCTTTTGCTGTGCAGAAGCTCTTTAGTTTAATTAGATCCCATTTGTCAATTTTGGCTTTTGTCGCCATTGCTTTTGGTGGTTTAGACATGAAGTCCTTGCCCATGCCTATGTCCTGAATGGTATTACCTAGGTTTTCTTCTAGGATTTTTATGGTGTTATGTCTAATATTTAAGTCGCTAATCCATCGTGAATTAATTTTCGTGTGAGGAGTAAGGAAAGGATCCAGTTTCAGCTTTCTACTTATGGCTAGCCAATTTTCCCAGCACCATTTATTAAATAAGGAATCCTTTCCCCATTTCTTGTTTTTCTCAGGTTTGTCAAAGATCGGATGACTGTAGATGTGTGGTATTATTTCTGAGGGCTCTGTTCTGTTCCATTGGTCTATATCTCTGTTTTGGTACCAGTACCATGCTGTTTTGGTTACTGTAGTCTTATAGTATAGTTTGAAGTCAGGTAGCGTGATGCCTCCAGCTTTGTTCTTTTGACTTAGGATTGTCTTGGCAATGCGGGCCCTTTTTTGGTTCCATATGAACTTTAAAGCAGTTTTTTCCAATTCTGTGAAGAAACTCATTGGTAGCTTGATGGGGATGGCATTGAATCTATAAATTACCTTGGGAAGTATGGCCATGTTCACAATATTGATTCTTCCTATCCATGAGCATGGTGTGTTCTTCCATCTGTTTGTGTCCTCTTTTATTTCACTGAGCAGTGGTTTGTAGTTCTCCTTGAAGAGGTGCTTTACATCCCTTCTAAGTTGGATTCCTAGTATTTTATTCTCTTTGAAGCAATTGTGAATGGAAGTTCATTAATGATTTGGCTCTCTGTTTGTCTGTTACTGGTGTATAAGAATGCTTGTGATTTTGCACATTAATTTTGTATCCTGAGACTTGGATGAAGTTGCTTATCAGCTTAAGGAGATTTTGGGCTGAGATTATGGGGTTTTCTAAATATACAATCATGTCATCTACAAACAGGGACAATTTGACTTCTTCTTTTCCTAACTGAATACCCTTTATTTCTCTCTCTTGCCTGATTGCCCTAGCCAGAACTTCCAACACTATGTTAAATAGGAGTGGTGAGAGAGGGTACCCTTGTCTTGTGCCACTTTTCAAAGGGAATTTTTCCAGTTTTTGCCCATTCAGTATGATATTGGCTGTGGGTTTGTCATAAATAGCTCTTATTATTTTGAGATACGTTCCATCAATACCGAATTTATTGAGAGTTTTTAGCATGAAGGGCTGTTGAATTTTGTCAAAGGCCTTTTCTGCATCTATTGAGATAATCATGTGGTTTTTGTCTTTGGTTCTGTTTATATGCTGGATTACGTTTATTGATTTGCATATGTTGAACCAGCCTTGCATCCCAGGGTTAAGCCCACTTGATCATAGTGGATAAGCTTTCTGATGTGCTGCTGGATTCGGTTTGCCAGTATTTTACTGAGGATTTTTGTATTGATGTTCATCAGGGATATTGGTCTAAAATTCTCTTTTCTTTTTGTGTCTCTGCCAGGCTTTGGTATCAGGATGATGTTGGCCTCATAAAATGAGTTAGGGAGGATTCCCTCTTTTTCTATTGATTGGAATAGTTTCAGAAGGAATGGTACCCGCTCCTCCTTGTACCTCTGGTAGAATTCGGTTGTGAATTGTCTGGTCTTGGACTTTTTTTTGGTTGGTAGGCTATTAATTATTGCCTCAATTTCAGAGCCTGCTATTGGTCTATTCAGGGATTCAACTTCTTCCTGGTTTAGTCTTGGGAGAGTGTAAGTATCCAAGAAATTATACATTTCTTTTAGGTTTTCTAGTTTATTCGTGTAGAGGTGTTTATACTATTCTCTGATGGTAGTTTGTATTTCTGTGGCGTCGGTGGTGATATCCCCTTTATCATTTTTTATTGCATCTATTTGATTCTTCTTTCTTTTCTTCCTTATTAGTCTTGCTAGCGATCTATCAATTTTGTTGATCTTTTCAAAAAACCAACTCCTGGATTCACTGATTTTTTGGAGGGTTTTTTGTGTCTCTATCTCCTTCAGTTCTGGTCTGATCTTAGTTATTTCTTGCCTTCTGCTAGCTTTTGAATGTGTTTGCTCTTGCTTCTCTAGTTCTTTTAATTATGATGTTAGGGTGTCAATTTTCTATCTTTCCAGCTTTCTCTTGTCAGCATTTAGTGCTGTAAATTTCCCTCTATACACTGCTTTAAATGTGTCCCAGTGATTCTGGTATGTTGTATCTTTGTTCTCATTGGTTTCAAAGAACATCTTTATTTCTGCCTTCATTTCGTTATGTCCCCAGTAGTCATTCAGGAGCAGGTTGTTCAGTTTCCATGTAGTTGAGCAGTTTAGATTGCAATACGCTTCACAACTTCGACTTCTGCAAAGAATTTTTGACTAAATCCCCAAAAACAATTACGACAAAAACAAAAATTGTCAAGTGGCACCTAATGAAACTAAAGATCTGCACAGCAAAATAAACTATCAACAGAGTAAACACACAATCTACAGAATGGGAGAAAATATTCACAAACTACTCATACGGCAAAGGCCTAATATCCAGAATCTCTAAGCAACATAAACAAATCAACAAGCAGAAAACAACTTTATTAAAATGTGGGCAAAGAATTGCTATAAAGACACATGCACACGTATGTTTATTGCAGCACTATTCACAATAGCAAAGACTTGGAATCAACCCAAATGTCCATCAGTGACAGATTGGATTAAGAAAATGTGGCACATATACACCATGGAATACTATGCAGCCATCAAAAAGGATGAGTTTGTGTCCTTTGTAGGGACATGGATGCAGCTGGAAACCATCATTCTTAGCAAACTATCACAAGAACAGAAAACCAAACACCGCATGTTCTCACTCATAGGTGGGAACTGAACAATAAGATCACTTGGACTCAGGAAGAGGAACATCACACACAGGGGCCTATCATGGGGAGGGGGGAAGGGGGAGGGATTGCATTGGGATTTATACCTGATGTAAATGACGAGTTGATGGGTACAGCACACCAACATGGCACAAGTATACATATGTAACAAACCTGCACGTTATGCACATGTACCCTACAACTTAAAGTATAATAATAATAAATAAATTTAAAAAAAAAGAAAATAAACAGCTACTTTCAAAAGAAGACATATGAATCACCAAAAAACATATGAAAAAATGCTCATCATCTCTAATCATCAGAGAAATGCAAATCAAAATCACAATGAGATACCATCTCACAACAGTCAGAATGGTTTTATTAACAAGACAAAAAATAATAGATGTTGGCAAGGCTGCAGAGAAAAGGAAATACTTACAGACTGTTGGTGGGAATGCACATTAGTCCAGACACTGTGGCAAGCAGTTTGGAACCTGAAACAGAAATACTGTTCAACCCAACAATCCCGTTACTAGGTATATATCCTAAAGAAAATAGATAATTATACCAAAAACACACACGCACTCATATTCATCACAGCACTATTCACAACAGGAAAGACGTGGAATTGACCTAGGTGGTCATCCATGGTGGACTGGGTAAAAAAGGTGGTATATATACCCCATGGAATACTACACAGCCATAAAAACAATGAAATCATTTTTTATAGCAACATGGATGCTGCTGAAGGCCATCATCCTAAGCAAATTAATGCAGGAAGAGAAAACCAAATACCACATGTTCTCACTTACAAGTGGAAGCTAAACATTGAACTCACATGGACATAAGCGAGGGAAGAATAAACATTACCGACTATTAGAGGGGAGGAGTAACAAAGGGAAGGATGTGGGTTGAAAAACTACCCACTAGGTACTATGCTCATTGACTGGGTGCAGTATACCCATATAGCCACCTGCACATGTACCCCTGTATGTAAAATAAAAGTTGAAATTTCAAAAATATATAAAATCACATCTATAAAATATATATGTGCATTTGCCAACAAATATTTACTAAGTAACTATGACGTGATACCAAAAAACCTTGTAGCTACTGTTAAGTATTATAAAGAAAAAAATAAACAAACCAGCAACACCATTAGTCATAAGAACTCTACTCCCTCAGACACGAAATGATATTTGGGAGTTATGCAGCTTAGTTATACATTCATTTAGGACTTTATAACTAATTCTTCCTGTAATAGTCTGCTTTAAAAATTATGGCCATTAGGAGATAAAATACTTCACTTTAAAAGAGACTTTAAAAAATGTAGTTATCTGAAAAACTAAAAACAAATGAAACTAGTGTTATTCTTTATTATACCATGTAGTGTTAACTCTATTGTGTAAGAAATGTCTTGAAAATTATGAAATGATTGGAAAAACACTTATTTTTACTTCAATGACCTAGATTGCATGGGACTGACAAATTGAGGCTTGTCTTGGAGACATAAATGTGTATGAAAGTTTCAGTTATCCCCTGGGCAACGTAAAAGAAACAATGGACCTCATGTGAGTATAAATTAATGTCACTTTTTGGAATACAAATATTCTGGCCCTGAAATGCTACTTCTTGGTTAGTCTTTTATTCTACAAAGAGGGCTATACAAGCATAATAGTTCAATCCATGTTTCTAACAAAAATTTGAAGTTATTTTTAATAAATAACTTTAAACAAATTACTATACTGTTGTACATCTTCACGATGAAATACTTTGCTGACACTGTAAATAAGGAAACGAAATTTTATATACCTACCTAAGGAGATTCTTTCTAGAGGTCAAGAACAAATTTTAAGATAGTGCAATCGTATTATTCCAGTTACATACAAAGTCATAGACTCCAACACTCTAATAGGTATTGTATGAGTATATGTATATATTTGAACATAGAGAGAAAAGCATTTAGGACTTTATACATTTTACTGATGGCAGCTCTTTTCTCAGGAAAAAGAACTAAAGGTCCTCAAGATAAGTAATGTAATTTCATCAATAAATGTCAAATTTTAAAATAAAGTAAAACTACTACAACTGGCTGTGGAATTATTCTGTTCAGAAATTCTCCTTGAGATTTGCTCATAGAAAGGAGTCAAAGCAAGAAAAGAAAATACATGTCCCAGAAGTTCAATAGGCTTTTCTCAAGAAAGGAAAATGGGCCTAGAATTCTGCTTATTTCTAGCAATCTAATGTGACCAGATATGGTCAACAAACCAGAAACACAATCAGAAGGGTAATTTATATTCACCACTTGAAGTAGTGAGGAAGAAAGTCTGCAAGGACTTACCAGTACCACGGGAGACAACATAGAAATAACAGAGCTGAAGACAGACAACTTCATTGTCAAATACAAAATGTGGGGGAACATCAATATTTTAAGTTTTCTGGGAAACATACTCTGTATGATCATATTGGGTAAAATTCATGACCTCCTCTTTAAGAAAACTCATCTTGATGACCCACTATTTAATCTAGTGCTTCTTGAGGTCATAATTTTGTTTCTTCGAGTGAACTTTGCGTAGAAACCATGTCCCATGATATGTCATCCCTTATCAGAGTTATACTGTATATTGGAGTAGAAATTCATTTGGGATCTTGGAGAAAACTAGTGTATTAATTAATTCTGTGACTTGAACGTCTCATTCTTAGGTTGTAGGCTGAGCTTTGTACTTCTATCCTTGAAGGAGTGAATTCTTTTCTGGACGCCCTGGGGAAGAATGTTTATTTGCTCATGTACATTGTTAACAGAATTTACTCCCTCAAATTTGTAAGGCTGTGGGTACCCTTTTATTGCTGCCTGCCAGCTGAGAGCCACTCCCAGCTTCTAGAAGTTGCCCAAATCCATGCCCTTGGCTCCATGCCCAAATCTGGACAAAGCGGCTCAAGTCACTTTCACGCTTCAACCTCTTTTGCCTCTTTCATATTCAGATTTCTCTGACTCACTTATTTTATTTTTATTTTTATTTTTTTGCCATTCTCCTTCATATTTAAGGTCCTGTGTAATTATGCATATGATTTAGAAAAGGATAATGCCTCTAAAATCCATAAACTTAATTCCATCTGCCAAGTTACTGTTGCCATGTAATGTAACAAAACAGAAGTAACAACAAGGACATCTTTGGGCACAGGTGGCAATTACACTGCTCAAGACAATATATTTGATCTTTATTAGTGCAGACAATTATTTCTTTCAAGTTGTAATTAAACACTTGGTAAGTATAAAGAGTAACAGGGTTAGTGAACTTTCAGATAGTGATGGTCTTGTTTTTGTTTTTGTTTCCTGTTTGGCTGATTTGAAGAATGAGGATGAGGATGTTCACAGGGAAGTGAGAGGTATTCACTTGTTTGAAATTTGTCAACTTTTCTGAGAAGTCTTGGAGAAAAATGAATTAATTTTTAAGCTAAAGATAATATTCTGACAAATACCAAAGTTGAAAAAAACCCTGATGATATAGAAACAAGTAGAGGGTGGTTTTATATCTGCGTATTTTCATCCTTACTTTCAACCCAAATTTTTAGAGAAGTTGTCCTGTCACAGCAACAAATGCAGATGGCTTTACTTAAGGATTTAATTTTTCCTTTGTATTTTAGCAATTCCTACAACACTTTTTTATTTCTTAATTGTAGCTGTAGTTTTTACATTTTCATAGGACTTAAAATAGTGCCACTATTGAAAATTTTGCTCTAGAAGCAGTATTTAAAATTATGATATTACCCAAATAAAAATGGAAAACTAATAAACACACAAAATATGGTAATGCAACTCACTAATCACTACATAATGGCAATAGAGTGATAATTAGCTCAGAGGTCAATTCATGATATTTCAAATTCATAAAAAGAACATTTCCATGAATGCTAGTATGTCAAAAAAGTAGAATAAAAATTCTAGATGTGTTTGAAAATAAAACTATCATTTTTCACATAGAGTTGACTTATTCTACAGTCTGAGTAATTTCGGCCTTCCACAGACAGTAAATTTAATGAACATCACCCTAACTTCTGATCCACCGCTAAAAGTTAAGGTGACAATCTAAAGTCTAGACACCAAAGTAAAATACAAAGCACTTGAAATTCAAGGTAAAAACTAATATTAAAGTGAGATCTATACTTTCTCTAAATTAAAACTTGTGAACACAGGCAATATATGATGCAGTAACGTTAGCAAATTGCATTCATGTCACAGTTGCCAACCTGCCTATTTTTTAAATGAAGGAAATGAAGAAACCCACATGGAATTTTTGTCCATATGTCTATTTGCAAAGCTGAATAGATGAGGAAAAAAATGATTTTGAGAATGTACTGAGTGTTTTCCAAGGCTTTGTAATGGGATCTAGAGACCCAGTTTTACAATCTGAAATAATATGGCTTCATATGATTGAAGCTTTTCAAAAGAGGGTCAGACAACTGAAAGCAGAAGAACTTAAAAATCTGATCTAAAAGACAATCTATTTAGTGGTTATCAGTCAACCTCTATCCCCAGCCATCTATTTCATATTTAGACCCTGTCCATTGCGCTTGTGACCCAAGTGACTATGCTGACAGCGATGAAGGTTATTCATGAGCTCAATAAAATGGACTTTCCCTTGTCCAGGTCACTTGAACCTCTGTTTGAACATGTCCAGAAGAAAGATCAACCCTGAGCACAAAATATGACATCATTTTCCAGGGTATCAGCCAGATACCAAGTTGCACAGTGATCATAGAGAAGAACTTTAATCAGGCATGGGATAGCACTTTTTTTCCTCACTGAAATAGACACTGCAAGGAAATGCATTTGCCTGTCTGTCAGTAACATTGCTGATACACAGCATGGTCTCTGACCAAAAATTTGATTTTCTAGTAAATGAAAGTGAAGATTGAGTTCATGGTGATGAAATTCAGTGAGTTGGTTATATTACCATTCAGCCCGAATCAGCTGTCCTGAAGAAACAATGGAATGATCTTGAAAGTTAGTTATGGCTTCAGAAAGAAGATAATGTGTTACCCTGCTGGGGAAATGCCCTCCTCAATTTGTTACATGCTCAGAACCAGTGACCAATGTGTTGTCTCCCCAAAACCAGGATTCACAGGGCCAGAAATCCAAGGGAGGAGACAGCTCCTCTTCACTATTACCCTTTGGCAAAGAAAGTATACCGAGTGAGGTTACTGAAGAGGAAAGTTTATATTCTTTTTTTTTTTTTTTTTTTTTGGTGAGATGGAGTCTTGCTCTGTCACCCATGATAAATTTCAATGGCGTGATCTTGATCTCGGCTTACTGCAAATTCTGCCTCCTGGGTTCAAGCGATTCTCTTGCCTTAGCATCCCAAGTACCTGGGATTACAAGTGCCCATCACCACGCCTGGCTAATTTTTGTATTTTTAGTAGAGACAGAGTTTTGCCATGTTGGCCAGACTGGTCTCAAACCCCTGACCTCAGGTGATCCATCTGCCTTGCCCTCTCAAAGTGGGGAATGACTATATTCTTACTACCTTTCAGGGATAAGAAAAAAATTATTAGGAATGCAGGCAGTAACCTGGGTTTATTAATTGTATTCCACTGTTATAATTTTAAATGTAAATCTACCTCAATAGACAGTTTTGCTAATAACTAAAACCCATCAAGAAGGAATATTAAGGTCACCCAGTTAGACAAGGAACCACGACCAACTGAAGTGGCATTTTAGACAAAGAGAATAAAGAATCAACAGTTACAATAATAAAAATCATAAGAGCTATGATTTTCTGGCCAATGGAAGAAATGAGGACTTTCATATTTATATGGTTTTCTGCCTTATTTTAATGTGGGTGTATTTGTAAATATAACCAGTACTTTCCACTTGTTTCTCCTCACCCATACTCTTCCCATCTAGCATCAGTTTTGTTTATAGTAATTAGTTTTTATTCACATTTCAATAACACAAATGTGAAGAGTGTGATCTGGCTATAAGCAGAATAAACATTATTTTAAAAAGAATAAGTTGATCTATGGGAGTTTGTTTCATCTTTTGGGGAGATTATTAGTACATTTCTGGTTTTAGTAAAGATAGCTGTGTCATGAGGAGATTCAATTAGATTACAACAGTGATAATAGCTTTTGAAGGAATGAGAAAATGAGACTGATATTATGTTAAGATACATTTATAAGAATAAATTGTTGTCCTATATCTTGATAATATTTAAAACTATTTTCTGTTGCATTTAATTATTTCCCTGTTTATTAAATAATATACTAGTATTTGATCGAATAGGTTTACAATTATGAGATTAGACTTTTTTTTTTTTTAAAAAAAAAGGATGTTTGGTTTCTTAGGTTTCCTTTACAAAAATAACTTTAAAGTAACTACCTGCAGAAAGATTTTTGGTGATTTATTTTATTTTATTTTCTGAACCCATATGTATTGCTACATGTCCTTTCACTGCATGAATTTCATAAAAGCTCAATCATTACATAATTTAAGTTTCACTTATTCATTTTCATAAATCACTACATTTTAGTATGAATCTTAACTTACCTGAAAAAATACTAGGTTTTGCTGCTTAATATATAACTTTATAAATTAATCTCAGTATATATATCTCTGTAACTAAACTTTTACTTAAAATTAATGCAATATTTCAGTCTGTTCAAACTTGGGTTTTTCAACTGAATTCTGTCAGTATAGTCTATTTATAGAGAAAAAAATGCCATGCAAATAGCATTAAAATGCCTTTTAAATGTTGCATAATGAACACCACTAATTTATTTTGTACTGTTGGGGTGCATGATAAGCAATAGCATGGCCTACATAGAAAATTAAACTATATTATTTACATTGTTTATTTATATAATTGAAAATCGGTAAAAAATCAACAACATAATGACTGTACAAAATCAAGATTTTAGTCAATTCTAGTGGGGAAGGAAACAGGACAAAGAAGCCTGTGTAAGAGACTGAAGTTTTCTATTTATTGACCTAGGTGGAGAAGAAATGAGTAATAGTTCTGTAATTATTTATTAAGCAGTTCAGTTTTGCATCTATGTTATATTGCACCATCCAGCTACGAAGAAAATATACCTGTAATAAAATGTACAATAATCTCAAGAAAATGTGCTTCCAATTGTTGTTAAATACTAAATTATTCTCGGTAATAACGTTACCAAGAATAATATTACCAAGAATATTACCAAGAATAATTTAGTATTATGTTTGCAATTTTATATTTTAAATTTATTTGTACTTGGATTGTATAACTTTTTAAATATCTCTAAGAAAAAGTGTTATATCAGTATTTTCTAATTGTTTAAAAAATAATTTAAAATATAATACAAAATACATGGTTGTATACTGAATTTATAACAGTCACATATAAACTGTTATAAATATATTACCAATTATTTTGCCTCACCTGAGACATATTTTATATGTAGTATTTTATGCTTTAAACTCTCTGAGCTATTTTCTCTGACCTAACATTAATAAATTATAAAAATTCAAAATGAGAAATTTCCTCTCAGAATGAGCTAAGAATTAAATCATTTTCTCCCTTTAATATTTTACTTTATTTAAAAATTTCTAATAAACCCTTCTGAAGATATAACTATCTAAGAAGCTAATAAGATATCCTCAGTAATTTTTCTGAACACTTTAACAAAGACCTGTTTGACATTTCAGCACTTTAATAAACCAACTTAAAAAATTTTAAAGCTTTGCTTTCTACAGACATATGGATTATTATTTTAAGGCAGATTTACAGTATTTTCACTAAATTGTTGTTTAAAGAAAGTTCATTTTTAAGGGTTAGAGTATAATATGGGACTATTTCTTCTAAGAATTATATAAAATTATAGCTAATAGAGCTGGAGCCAGTCTTAGAGTTTGTTTCAATCAATGCTCCCTACTTAATAATGAGTAAAGAAAGATCCAAAGAGAGGAAGTAACTTTCAAGAAGTCAACTTAAGAGACTAGTTTCCGGCCGGGCGCGGTGGCTCAAGCCTGTAATCCCAGCACTTTGGGAGGCCGAGACGGGCGGATCAGAGGTCAGGAGATCGAGACATCCTGGCGAACACGGTGAAACCCGTCTCTACTAAAAAAATACAAAAACTACCGGGCGAGGTGCGGCGCCTGTAGTCCACTACACAGGAGGTGAGGCAGGAGAAGGCGGAACGGGAGGGAGCTTGCAGTGAGCTGAGATCGGCCACTGCGCTCCAGCCCTGCGAAGAGCGAGACTCCGTCTCAAAAAAAAAAAAAAAAAAAAAAAGAGACTAGTTTCCAAAAGAATTACATTTCCTTAAAATTTTACCTAGTTTAAGTAACTCTTGATATTATGAATCTTTGTTGATTCTACATTATCATTTGATTCACTGCATTCAGCATTTTAAATTAAATTAAGGAGTAACAGAAACATGATTTTGATTATGCATTAACCTCAGACCCAGTGTTTATCTAGCTTTTAATTATAGAATAAATGTAAAATACAAGAAGACTGCATTTTTAGATTAGTAGTAATTTTTACGCAATAGGTATCTAGCAGAGGAGTATTTTGGAACAATTTTTATTCTTCCATTTAGCTTCAAGCACTTGGAAATAGTAGAGAATACTGTTACTTTAGACATCCCAAAACACACCTCACCTAAAAGTTACCTGTTTAATGAGCTGTCAAGGGTAAATCTATGTCACACCTTCTCTGGGACACCATTTTCATAGAATAGTAAGTTAGTAAATCCATGCAGAGGTTGCCATGACAATGACCCCACAGAAAACCAATAGAATTGAACCTTAACAGATAATCTAGAGTAACTATCAGCCAACTTCATGAAGCCACTGAGAAACACTAAGGTCAAAGTACTTAGAAATATTAGCAGATTAAGTATTTTTTCACAATTTAATTAGATATATGTTCCAGATTTTGTTCCTTTCATTTTATTTGCATATGTTTCCAACTATGCTCAACACCTAGCAAGTGTGTAAAAATAGGCTTTCTTTGTAATTTTCAAATGTCCTTTATCTTGTCTCTCAAATAATGTTTTTAAAGTAGAAAAATAATGTTCATTTGAGTAAACAATCTGAATAATCTATGTAATAAATGATAAAATAATAAAACAAAAACAGTTATTTTTAGATACAGAAAAAAGTTAAATGATTGAAATAGCAGTTGTTATACTAATTTTTTTAGGTAGATAGATACACTCTTAAGCATTCAAATAGATTTTGACAGTCTTGAGACTAGTTGAATAGTGGAAATAAATTAGCAATCATTACTGTGTCTGAGAAGAAAATGAACCAAAGGGAACAATTCCTACATTTCAGAGTTATATTTAGAATTAAAACATTGTTATGACTAATTTTGATAGATAAATATATTAATAAGAAATAGTTCTGTTTTATTCTTGTTTGATATGTTGGATTTATCTTATTTAACAAGTAGAAGTTGAGATCTTGTCAATTTAAATGCAACTAATGTCAGGTCATCTGCCATAAATTTTAGAAATTAAGTGAAAGGCTGGAGGTATGATGTAAGATTATAACTAAATTATACTGGGTAATAAACTTCTGATTCAGAATCTATCTGTGTTATAACTATGGACATACATGGTCACATGTTCTTTGTCATAAGGCATAACATGTATTTCAAGCTAAAATTTTAATTATTTCAGGACAGAGACTCAGTTGCACTTCTTCAAATGCACTGACAGAAATGAACATATAGTATGTAATGAATATTTTAATTGGTGATTGAGGGAAATATAGATAGTGTAAAATGTATCTTTGATATGATTGTAAAAATTTTCAAAATGTCCCCTCGTTGTAGGTCAGAATTCTATTTATTTTATTTATTTTTAAAATTTTATTATATATACTTATGGTAGATGGCATGATATTTTGATTCACATATGCATATTAAACTGATTACTGCAATCAAGCTAATTATTATTTCCATCTCCTCACATAGTTATAGTTGTTGTGTTTGGTAAGAACATTTAAGTATACTCTCTTGGAAGATTAAAGTGTGCAAAGTAGCATTATTAACTACTGTCACTTTACTGTTCAGTAGTTCTCCAGAACTTCGGTGTCCTACTTAACTAAAACTTTGTACCCTTTAACTAACATGAGATATCAGAATTTTAATAATTCAGAATAAGAATATATACAAAGGGCTAGCTGCAATGTTTGACTGTATCCTTGCAGATTGTATAATTTGGGAAGGAGGGTTGATTTGATTCATGTTTGAATCCCTGGTGGTGTGGCAGAACGCTGGCCATACAGTGAAACTTAAATGAATGTGCAGGCAGATGTCATTGATTTTAAACCACAGCGTAACCTGTGGTTCTTGATAAATGAAAAATGAACAACAGCAACAAAGCATGCTCTCCAGTTTGGTAAATATGTGTTGAGGTAAATAAATCTAGAAGATATATGCACACACACACACGATATGTATAGAGATAGATAGGTTTGTATATGTTGCATATATTTTATATTACATACAGGTTAATATATGAAATAAAAATTAAAATTTTTATTGATAAATCTACCCATTTAGATTATATTTTAAAAATGGATTCAAAGATTAATTATGCATGTTGGTTGCATGGATATATTGTGTAGTGGTGGGTTTTGGGTTCCTAATGTACCCATCACCCAAATAGTGAAGACTGTACTCAACAAGTAATTTTTCAGTGCTCACTCCCCTTACATCTTCCCGCTTTTAGAGTCCCTAGTGTCTGTCATTTCCCTCTGTATGTTCTTGTGTATCCATTATTTAGCTCCCACTTATGGTCTTTGATTTTCTTTTTCTGAGTTATTTCACTCAGGATAATGGTCTTCAATTCCATCCATGTTGTTGTGAAAGACTTGAATTCATTTTTATGACTGCATAGTGTTTCATGGCATATATATACACACACATATATATATGTGTGACATTTATATATAACATGTATATATAATGTGTATATATATAATGTGTGAATATATATACACATATACATATCCATATGTGTGTGTGTGTATATATATATGTGTGTGTGTGTCACGTTCTTTAAATCCAGTCATCCATTTATGGAAAATTAGTGCTGCTATAAACATACGAGTGTATGCATCTTTTTGATATATTTATTTCTTTTCCTTTGGGTCAATACCCAGTAGTGGGTTGCTGGGTCAAATGGTAGATCTATTTTTAATTCTTTGAGAACTCTCCATGCTATTTTCCATAGAGACTGTACTAATTTACATTTCCACTAACAGTGTATAAGTGTTGCTCTTTCTCCCTGTTCTCACCGACCTCTGTTTTTTGTTTTTTTTCTTTTAATAATAGTCATTCTAACTCGTGTGAGATGATATCTCACTGTGGTTTTGATTTGCATCTCTCTAATGATTCATGATGTTAAACATTTTTAAAGATGTTTGTTGGCTGCTTTTTTATGTCCTTTCTTGGAAAATATCTATTCACGTGCTTTGCCCACTTTTTAAGGGGATTGTTTTGTTCCTTGTGGTTTGAGTTCCTTACAGGTTCTGGATATTAGCCCTGTGTTGGATGCACAATTTGCAAATAATTTCTCCTATTCATAGGTTGTCAATTTACATTGTTGATTATTTATTAGGCTCTGTAGAAGCTTTTATTTTTAAGTCTCAATTATCTATTTTGGTTTTTGTTGCATTTGCTTTTGAGGTTTTAGTCATAAATTATTTGCCTGGGCCAATGTCCTGAAGAGTTTTTCCTATATTTTCTTCTAGGACCTTATAGCTTCACATTTTACAGTTAAGTCTTTAATCCAGCTTAAATTATAGCTTGAATATGATGAGATAGCTGTTTAGTTTCATTCTTCTACATATAGTACAATTTTCCCAGCACCATTTACAGAATAAAGTGTCCTTTCCTTACTATTTCTTTTTGCCCACTTTGTCAAAGATCAGTTGGTTGTAAATATGTGACTTTATTTCTGGGTTTTTCATTCTGTTTTATTGATCTATTTGTCTATTTTCATACCAATACCATAATGTTCTGGTTATTCACCTTGTATTATAATTTGAAGTCAGGTAATATGAGACTTTCTGCTATGTTCTTTTTGCTTAGAATTGCTTTGGCTATCCAGCCTCTTTTTGGTTCCATACAAATTTTAGAATTGTTTTTTCTACTTCAGTGAAAAATAATGTTGGTAATTTGATAGGAATTGCATTGAATGTGTAGAATGCCTTGGGCAGTATGGTCATTTTAATAATATTGATTCTTCTGATCGAAGATTATGGAATGTTTCTTCAATTGTTTGTGTCATCTACAATTTCCTTCATCAGTGTTTTCTACTTTTCACTTCCTCTGTTTAACATATTCCTATGTATTTTACTTTTGTAGCTATTGTAAATGAAATTGAAAGTTTTATTAATAAATCTATCCACTTGCATTATGAAATGTTTTATGAAAGGAAGATGTCACGTATATCTATGGTTCAATTAACTGATTCATCTCTCTTTTCCTCCATCTATTTAAACCTCCATCCATCTATCCATTTCCAGGAATAGTTATGACCAGAATTTTACATTAAAGTATATTTGATGAAATAAAAAATGAAATAATAAATACATTATTTTATATATACACATTATAAAACATCATTAATGTTTCAAGGCATATGTATATGTATATATCACATTTTTTTATATATATCACATTCTTTAAATCCAGTCATCCACTGATGAAAAGTTAGGTTGATTCTCTGACTTTGCTATTGTGAATAGTACTGCTATAAACATATGAGTGTATGTGTCTTTTTGGTCTATTTATTACTATAATAAATATATTTATAAATAAATATATACTTGTATTATATTTTTATCTATTATTTATATTTTATTTTAATATCTTTATAAATATACATTATTTGTAAATAAATATTATTTATAAATATTTATGTGTGTATTACTATAATAATTGCATTATAAACGCATGTATATGCCATGAAACACTAATAAACACAATAAATGAATAAACCATTTAACTAAATTGATATTTTTAATATTTTTTTCATAACTCATACTAAACATTTAGCACTACAGTTTTGTTTGAAATCTAAAATATCGTAATGGAAAAAATTTTCTTTGGGCAGAAGGCAAAAACTAAAAGAAATTAGTATAGAATACATTTTGTCAATGCAGGTACATGAGAGAGAGAAAGACATGTAGAGAGAGAAAGAGAGAGAGACACACAGAGTGAGAGAAAGAGGCATGGGAGGAAAGAGAAAGGGAAGGATGTAGGAAAGTAGGAAGAGATGACAGAATAAAATAAGGAGAATATCTATACAAATTTGGCATTTGGTATTTGCCAGTTTTTACATAGTAGAACTCCCCTTATCTAGATATAGTCCAAGCCCCCCGGTGGATGCCTAAAGCTGTGGATAGTATCAAATCTTTTGTATGCAGTGGACTCTAGAAAAGCATGGGTTTGAACTGTGCGGGTCAGCTTATACGTGGATTTTCTTCTGCCTCTGCTAGTGCTGAGTCTATAAGATAACCCCCTCCTCTTTATCTTTCTTTTCAGCCTCTCAATCTGAGGATTACAAACATGAAGGCATTTACAATGATCCATTTGCACTTAATGAATAGTGAATATATTTCCTTTCCTTTTCTTTTTCTTGTTCCTTTTTTTTTTTTTTTTTTTTTTTTTTTCTGAGACGTAGTCCCTCTGTCACCCAAGCCGGAGTGCTGTGGTGAAAATGGCTCACTGCAG